GCTGCTGCTGCTGCTGCTGCTGCTGCTGCTGCTGCTGCTGCTGCTGCTGCTGCTGCAGGGGGTGCGGGGGAGAGGGGAATGCAGGGGTTGCTTGGGGGAAGGAGCTGCTGCAGCAGCTGCTGCTGCTGTAGGGGAGGGGGCGGGGTTGCTGCTGCTGCTGCTGGAGGGGGCACGCTGCTGCTGCTGCTGCTGCTGCTGCTGCTGCTGTTGAGGATGGGGAAGCGTTGCTGCTGCTGCTGGTAGTGCTGCTGCTGCTGCCGAGGCTGCTGCTGGGGGGGCTGGGTGTGGTGCTGCCGCTCGTGCTGCTGCGTCTGCTGCTGCGTTTGCGTGGGGTGTTGCTGCTGCTGCTGCTGCTGCTGCTGCTGCTGCAGTTGAGTAGTGGGATAGCAGTGCTGGCGGGGCTGCTGCTGCTGCTGCTGATCATCTTGCTGCTGCTGCCACTGCTGCTATTCTTGTGCTGCTGCTGCTGCTGTGCTTCTTAGCCAAGTGTAAACACTAAACCCTAAACCCTAAACCCTAGTCTGTGCCTTCAGGCGGCCACCGTGGCTTTGGTTTCGTCGAATTTGAGGAGGAAGAAGATGCAAATCAGGCGGTAAACCCTAAACCCTAAACCCTAAACCCTAAACCCCAAACCCTAAACCCTAAACCCTTGTTTTGTATGGTTAGAGGTTTGGGGTCTGAAGGTAGGGTCTAGGGTTTTGCGAACTCCCTGTCTTTCGGGGGTCCGCGCGCAGCGAGGGTTTAGGGTTTAGAATTTAGGGTTTAGGGTTTGCGGCGAGGGTTTAGGGTTTAGGGTTTAGGGTTTAGGGTTTGCAGATATTGAATATGCACAACTCGGAGCTCTACGGCCGCACGCTGCGGGTAAACACTTCGAGGCATGGCCCCCAAGGGGTTCCAAAGAACAGAGCAGGTCTGCTGCTGCTGCTGCTGCTGCTGCTGCTGCTGCTGCTGCTGCAGTTGCTGCTGCTGCTGCAGTTGCTGCTGCTGGGCGTTTTGGTGCTGGGGCTGCTGCTGCTGCTGCTGCTGCTGTTCTTCTTGTCCTGCTGCTGCAGCAGTTGCTGCTGCTGCTGCAGCAGCGTAGAGAGAGCAGGCATCACACGGGCAGCTGCAGCAGCTGCTGCAGCTGCACTAGCAGCTGCAGCAGCACTAGCTGCTGCAGTTACTTGCTTCTATCTTTTTGCTGCTGCTGCTGCTGCTGCTGCTGCTGCTGCAGTTTGGCAAGACGACTTTTTCTTTCGCGAGGAAATGAGCAAACGAGGGATGGCCGTGGACGCAGACCTGGTGAGTCTTGCTGCTGCTGCAGCTGTTGCTGCTGCTGCAGTTGCTGCTGCTGCTGCAGTTGCTGCTGCTGCTGCTGCTGCTGCAGTTGCTGCTGCTGCTGCTGCAGTTGCAGTTGCTGCTGCAACTGCCATATGGCTTTTCTGCAGCTTTGCTGCTGCGCGTTGCAGGACGAGCCGGACGCCCCAGCTGCAGCAGCAGAGAGCGGCGACAAGTAAGCAGCAGCAGCAGCAGCAGCAGCAGCAGCAGCAGCTGCTGCTGCTGCTGCAGCAAATGCAGCAATTTAGACGCATACAGCGGCTTCCGCAGATGCTGCTCTTCAGCTGCTGCGCTGCTGCTCCTTCCCCGGCAGCTGCAGGTATCTGCTGCAACAGCAGCAGCAGCAGCAGCAACAGCTGCTGCTGCTGCTGCTGCTGCTGCTGCTGCTGCTATAGGAATATTCTAAGTGGACCACCGTGTGCTCCGCTTGCAAACCCTAACTCTCAGCTCAAACCCTAAACCCTAAACCCTAAACCCTAGTTCTCGGGGCTCCCTAGAAGACCCGAATCGCTAAACCCGTGGTCAATATGCCGCTGCAGAAGAACCGCTAGGGTTTAGGGTTTAGGGTTTGGCGACTAAAGGGTTTTGGAAGACCTCCGAGGGTTTAGGGTTTGCACCAGGGACCTTCATGCGAGTTTTAGTGTGCTTGAGATGCTGCTACAGCAGCAGCAGCAGCAGCAGCAGCTGCTGCTGCTGCTTCTACAGCAGCAGCAGCTGCTGCTGCTGCTTCTACAGCAGCAGCTGCTGCTGCTGCGGCTGATATAGCAGCAGCTGCTGCAGCTGCTGCAGCAGCAGCTGCAGCAGCTGTTGCTGCTGTCCTTTCCGTGGCACTGCCACTCAAATCAAATTCATTGTTAAATATCCTGTCCGAGGGTTCGGGGTTTGTAGTCCGAGGCTAGGGTTTGCAGTTGAGGGTTTAGGGTTTAGGGTTTGAGGGTTTAGGGTTTAGGGTTTGCAGCTAGGGTTTAGGGTCTGCAGCGGCTTCAGGCCTCGGGGGCAGCCAGCCGCTTCCATCGCTGCGGCCACACGCAAGACAGAACCGCAAGGGTTTAGGGTTTAGGGTTTTAGGGTTTAGGGTTTGGGGTTTAGGGTTTGAGGCTTAGGGTTTGAGGGTTTAGGGTTTGGGGCCTATGCTTGCAGCCGCGGGAGCGTGCATGTGCGGCTGCGCCAGAGAGCCCTAGGGTTTAGGGTCTAGAGCGCACGAGGGTTTAGGGTTTAGGGTTTAGGGTTTAGGGTTTAGGGTTTACGGGTTGCTAATGAATTTGTTGTAGGGCTGCCTCTCTCGCCGCCTGAGAAGAGAAAGCCCTAAAGCCTCTCTTTCCTGCTGCAGCTCTTTTGTCCTTTTGGCCACAAACTGCGCGCAAACCCTAAACCCTAAACCCTAAACCCTAAACCCTAAACCCTAGGCCTCGAAGCCCGGGGCTCGCCGGCCGCGGCGAGCAGCGCCGAGCGCCTCAAACGGGGGTTTAGGGTTTAGGGTTTAGGGTTTAGGGCTGGGGGGGCTGACGGCGCTCGGGACCCAGACGCAGCGCTAGGGTTTAGGGTTTAGGGTTTAGGGTTTAGGGTTTACCTCGGGGGTTTCGTACTTCTTAATGCAACTCCTCGCGGCCTTTGCCAAACCCTTACATTTCAAAAACGTAATTGTCCGCGAAGTCATGCACTCCACGTAGTCGTCCAAACTCTCCCTTCTCGCAAACCCTAAACCCTAAACCCTAAACCCTAAACCCTAAACCCTAAATCCTAGGCATTCCACGTAGTCCTTTAAACTCGCCCTTCTCGCAAACCCTAAACCCTAAAACTCAAACCCTAGGCACTCCACGTAGTCGTCCAAACTCTCCCTCCTCGCAAACCCTAAACCCTAAACCCTAAACCCTAGGCATTCCACGTAGTCCTTTAAACTCGCCCTTCTCGCAAACCCTAAACCCTAAACCCCAAAGCCTAGACCCTGCGCACTCCCCGCAGCCATCCACACTGCCCTGCGTCCCGACCCAAACCCTAAACCCCAAACCCTAAACCCTAAACCCTAAACCCTAAACCCTAAACCCTCGCCTCGCCTGCACTTGTCTCGGATTTCCTTTCCAATTTGTTCTTTTATTATTTTGGATTCTTTTTTTTGCAACTCCGAAATTTCTTTTATTTCAAAAAAAGGAACTCGAGAAGAAGTCCGTCGAGAGACCACTGCGGGGTCCAGCGGGTCGTCCAGGAACAGCTTCTGCTGCTGCTGCTGCTGCTGCTGCTGCTGCTGCTGCTGCGGCTGCTGCTGCTGCTGCTGCTGCTGCGGCTGCTGCTGCTGCTCGGCGGAGGCCGGGTAGGTCTTCTCTTCAGGATTGCGAAGGCTCTCGGGCCGGCGAATCGCCGGCGACAGCCAACTCAGCATCGTGCTGCTGCTGCTGCTGCTGCTGCTGCTGCTGCTGCTGCTGCTGCTGCTGCTGTTCCCCCGGCTGCTGCCAGCATCGCTGGCGTTCCTAAGGCTGCAATTGCTGCAGCTGCAAAGGGGTGGGTGCTGCTGCTGCTGCTGCTGCTGCTGCTTCTGCTGCTCAACGCGCAGATCCCACGAGTCAACGGCAGCACCGGCAGCAGCTGCTGCTGCAGCTGCTGCTGCTGCTGCTGCTGCTGCTACAAATATCAGTTAGGCTCCCTGGGGAGCTCTTGCTGCAGCACAGCTCAAGAAATGCAGTAAAAAATAGATAAGTAGTCTTAAAGTTCGCTGCTGCTGCTGCTGCTGCTGCATGCAGCCACAAAGGTCACTGTCCCAGCCGCTGCCGCCGCAGCAAGAGCAGCAGCAGCAGCAGCAGCAGCAGCAGCAGCAGCAGCAGCTGCTGCTGCTGCTGCTGGCGAACTCAGCAGGTATTTGAAATATGATCTTCTGCTTTTGTTTTTTAATTTTTGGACCTTCGGAAACTGTCAAGACACTCCATTTAGCTTCCTTCAAGTCCGCAGCGGACGTCTGCTGCTGCTGCTGCTGCTGCTCTAGTCTTTGCTGCTGCTGCTCCCGCTGCTGCCGCAGCTCGTGCTGCTGCTGCTGCTGCAGCAATGGCTTCTAAAGCGTTCAGCCTCGCGCTGCAGGGAGGCGCAGCCTCCGTGGCTAGAAGCAGCGTCTACAGATTTGCTGCTGCTCCAGCAGCAGCAGCAGCAGCAGCGGCGACAGCAGCAGCAGCAGCAGCAGCAACGCACACAGCAGCGCGGCAGCCGCCTCTAGACAGAATGTGCACAGCAGCAGCGAGGCCCGCAGCAACAGCAAATCTAGGGGCAGCAGCAGCAGCAGCAGCAGCAGCAGCAGTAACAAAAAAAGCAGCAGCAGCAGCTGCTGCTGCTGCTCTCCTTCGCAGTTTTCACTCTGCGTCGGCGTCGAATGGACAGCAGCAGCAGCAGCAGGACAAGCAGCAGCAGGAACAGCAACAGCAGCTGCAGCAGCAGCAGCAGCAGCAGCAAGAAGAGCGAGGCACCCAGCAGAATTGTGAGCGCAGAACAGATAAATTCAGCTGCTGCTGTTTCTGCTGCTGCTGCTGCAGTCAGCGCTGCTGCTGCTGCAGTTAGCGCTGCTGCTGTTGCTGCTGGTGCTGCCGCACGGTCTACACCCTCCAGTCGCCCTAACAGCTGCTGCTGCTTCTGCTGCTGCTGCTGCTGCTGCTGCTGCTGCTGGTCCCTGGTGCTTCAGCTGCTGCTCTTGTTCTGCTGCTGTAGCTCTTCTTCGAGTGCTGCTTCAGTTGCTGCTGCTGCTACTGTAGTTGCCGCTGCTGCTGAAGCTGCTGCTGCTGCAGTGCTTGCCGCTGCTGCTGCTGCTGCTGCAGTTGCTGCTGCTGCGTTTGGTGTGATCTTTGCAGCCAAGACGTCGGCTTCTTCCATGAGCGATGAAGTAAACCCTAAACCCTAAACCCTAAACCCTAGGCTCTGCCTCGCGTCTAGATAGCTAGATGGCAAACAACTACCTAGCTAGCTAGTTGCTAGCTAGCTATCTGCTAGCTAGCTAGCTAGCTAGCTAGTTAGCTAGCTGCTAGCCAGCTAGGTAGCCAGCTAGCTGCTATCCAGCTAGCTAGCTAGCTGGCTAGCTAGCTAAACAGCTAGCTAGCTAGCTAGCCACGTAGCTAGCTAGCTAGCCAGCCGCTTAGCTAGCTAGCTAGCTAGCTAGCTAGCTAGCCAGCTCGTTTGCCTCCTCGGTGACGCTCACGCGGGCAGCCAGCTGGCTAGCTGCTGCCGCGCTGAGCGCCCCGCACCCGCTGCTGCTGCTGCTGCTGCTGCTGCTGCTGCTGCTGCAGGAGCTGGAGGCGAAGCTGCTGCAGCTGGTGGAGAAAACCCCCGTGGTGCTGTTTATGAAGGGAAGGCCCGAAGCCCCTCTTTGCGGCTTCTCGGCGAGGGCTTTGCTGCTGCTGGAAGCAGCAGGAGTTCGGGAGTACACTTTCGTCGACTGCAGCATTCCGCAGCAGCTGCCGCAGCAGCAGCAGCAGCAGCAGCAGCAGCAGCAGCGGCAGCAGCAGGAGCGGCAGGAGCAGGAGCGGAGGGAGCAGCAGGGGGCAGCGGGGGCTGCCTCTCAGCAGCAGCAGCAGCAGCAGCAGCAGCAGCAGCAGCTGCAGCAGCAGCAGCAGCAGCAGCAGCAGCAGCAGCAGCTGCAGCAGCTGCAGCAGCGGCGGCAGCAGCTGGGGAGGTGCGTGAAGCGGGTCTTCGACTGGCCCACTTTCCCGCTGCTGGTGGTTAAGGGCAAAGTTGTTGGAGGGGCTGATGTGCTGCAGGCGCTGCAGCAGCAGGGGCAGCTAGCTGCGCTCTTCAAGGGCCTTTCAGACAGCAGCAGCAGCAGCAGCAGCAGCAGCAGCAGCAGCGGCAGCGGCAGCAGCAGCAGCGGCAGCGGCGACGGCGGCAGCAGCAGCTAGCTGCGGTCTTTCCCGGCAGTTCGGAGCCCAGCAGCACCAGCGGCAGCAGTGGCAAGAGCTGCTGCTGCGGTAGCAGCAGCAGCAGCAGCAGCAGTGGCAGCTAGCTGCGCTTTTCCAGGGTTTTCGAGGCCACAGCAGCAGCAGCAGAAGCAACAGCAGCAGCCAGCGCAGCTTTTCCGAGCCCAGCAGCAGCAGCAGCGGCAGCAGCAGCGGCAGCAGCAGCAGCAGGAGGGGCAGCTAGATGCGCTCTTCCGGGGCCCTTCGGAGCCCAGCAGCAGCAGCAGCAGCAGCAGCAGCAGCAGCAGCAGCAGCACTTAGTGAGCGCCTGCTGGCTCTGCAGGAATGCTGGAATCTTTCGGATTTCTCGCGAACTATTCCTCATTTATCTTTTATTATTTATAATTTATCATTTATAATTCTTTATTTATCTTTATTGTCCTTTATTTGCTTCGATTCGGCCTTTTGCTGCTGCTGCAGCAGCAGCTGCTGCAGCAGCAGCTGCTGCAGCAGCAGCTGCTGCAGCAGCAGCTGCTGCAGCAGCGGGGGCTTTTATGCGGCTGCGGTGTACGTACACCTGCCGCCCGCGACTCCCACCCAATCCAGTCTTGAATTGTCTGTTCATCATTTATTATTTATTTATTTAAATTTATTTATTTATTTATTTATTTATTTATTTATTTATTATTTATTTATTTATTTATTTATTTGTTTATTTATTTGTTTGTGTCTGTTGTGGGGCTGCTGCTGGCAGCAGCAAGCAACGTAGCAGCAGCAGCAAATCGTTTGCCTATTTTTGCGCACTTTGTTCGCAGCTTTCTTTCTTTTTAATATTTGTTTAATTAATTAGTTTTATTTAATTAATTTTATTTATTTATTTATTTATTTATTTAATTTATTTATTTATTTATTTTTAGTTTTGCTTCTTATTTACCTTTTACTTCCTGCTGCAGGCGCTGAAGAGATGCAGCAGCACAGCAGCAGCACAGCAGCCGCAGCAGCAGCACAGCAGCAGCCGCAGCAGCAGCACAGCAGCAGCCGTAGCAGCAGCACAGCAGCAGCCGTAGCAGCAGCAGCAGGAGCAGCAGCTGCAGCACGTCGAAGGGGCCAAAAGGTTCCAGCTAAACTCCAAACCCTAAACCCTAAACCCTAAACCCTAAACCCTTCGCTATATGTAGTCACATCAAATCGCTGCGATTTAAAAGCCAAGGGTTTGTTCATCCTGGGGTTTAGGGTTTAGGGTTTAGGGTTTAGCCAACACAGGGCTGCCTCTGCCGCCCCAAAGCCTAAACCCTAAACCCTAAACCCTAGACAAGGTCCCCGTAGCCCCACCAAAGGAGCTGCTACATTGAAGCCCCAGGGGGCCCCCACAGGGGCCCCCAAAGGGGCCCCCGGGGGGCCCCCAAAGGGGCCCCCAGGGGGCCCCCAAAGGGGCCCCCAGGGGGCCCCCAAAGGGCCCATAAGAAGCTTTAGGGGGCCCCCCTTTGGGGCCCCACAGGAAGCCAAGAGGGGCCCCCTTGGGGGCCCCCTTAATGCTGCTTTGGAGGGGCCCCCAGGGGCCCCCAAATGAGGCCCCAAGGGGCCCCTCCATAAATCCCTTTTAGGGGCCCCCATAGCCTTTGGGGGCCCCCAAAGGGGCCCCCAAAGGGGCCCCCAAAGGGGCCCCCAAAGGGGCCCCCAAAGGGGCCCCCAAAGGGGCCCCCTTGAGGGGCCCCCAAGGCCATTAGGGGCCCCAAGGCCATTAGGGGCCCCCAAAGGGGCCCCCAAAACTTCGGGGCCCCTCGTGTGGGGCCCCCCAAGGGCCCCCCGAAAACCCTGGGGCCCCCAAGAGGGGCTCCCCTAGGGGGGCCCCTAGGGGGGCCCCTAGGGGGGCCCCTAGGGGGCCCCCCTGTTTGACCCTGGGGCCCCCCGGGGCCCCCCAAGGCCCCCTGGGGGCCCCCGAGGGCCCCCGGGGGCCCCCGAAGGCCCCCCGGGGCCCCCCAAGGCCCCCGGGGGCCCCCGGGGCCCCCCAAGGCCCCCGGGGGCCCCTGGAATTGGGAAAGTGGGTACTTGGGTTTTAAAGAAGGGGAAAAGAAAAAAGAATTGGAAAAGTTTAATTGTCTCCAAAAGAGGGAATAGTTGGAGACTTAAAGTCTGGACTTTCGTAAGCAGCCATGAGGAAGTCTCCCCAGAAGTTGGTGTAGGAGAGGTGGGGGTTGGGGGGGCTGCGCCTGCTGCTGCTGCTGCTGCTGCTGCTGCTGCTGCTGCTGCTGCTGCTGCTGCTGCTGCTGCTGGGTGTGGTGCAGGTGAGGAAGTAGCTGCTGCTGCTGCTGCGGCACTGCAGCAGCCAGTCGTAGAGCTCGGCCACGGGGCTGCTGCGCTGCAGTCGTTTGCTGCGCAGCAGCCGGCGAAGAGCAGCAGCAAAAGCTGCTGGCAGCAAACCAGAAACATTTCTTTTGGCGAGAGAAAGTCTGAAGTTGAGGTTTGGTGCTGCAGCATGGAGTGGGGCTGGTCCGGGGCCAGCAGCAGCAGCAGCAGCAGCAGCAGCAGCAGCAGCAGCGGCGCCCTCGGGGCTCTTGCTGTCCGGGCACAGCACGTGCAGCCACTCCCCGCTGCTGCTGCTGCTGCTGCTGCTGCTGCTGCTGCTGCTGCTGCTGATGCTGCACAGGTGCTGCACCTGCACGGGCTCGAAGGCCACGATCTCCTCTTTGCTGTTCAGCGTCAGCAGCGCCTCGAACGGCCCGAAGGGCGCAGGAGCAGCAGCAGCAGCAGCAGCAGCAGCAGCAGCAGCAGCAGCAGCAGCAGGGGCTGCAGTCAGCGTGCAGTCCGCAGCAGGAACTTTCGACCAGCTGCGAATTACAGGGCCCGAAGAGAAGGGCAAAGAGCTGCCCGCGCTCGCCGCCTCCAGCGCTTCAATTTCTGCTGCTGCTGCTGCTGCTGCTGCTGCTGCTGCTGCTGCTGCTGCTGCTGCTGATAGGAGGCAAAGGGACAGCAGAAGGCCTAAAGGGGCCCGGCCCCGCGGAGGCCGGGAAAAGCCAGAGCCAAACATCTTCCCAAGAGCTGCTGCTGCTGCTGCTGCTGCTGCTGCTGCTGCTGCTGCTGCTGCTGCTGCTGCTGCTGCTGCTGCTGACTGTACCCCGGAATACACACTGCTGCTGCTGCTGCTGCCGAGGTGTCTGTACACCTGAACACACGCTGCTGCTGCTGAGGTGTCTGTACACCTGAATGCCCACGGCTGCAGGCGCGCAGCCGCCGCGGCTTTTGGCCCGCGGGTCCCTCGAGCTTCGGATCTTTTGCTAATTTGAGTTAATTTGAAAAGCAAAAAGCAAAAAAGATGAAGTGGAGAGCAGACTGGCGAAAAAGAGCGGCTAGTTGACGCTGGGCGGTGTCACTACACCGCAGCAGCAGCAGCAGCAGCAGCAGCAGCAGCGCGGCGGCGGCGGCGGGCGGCGAAGCGGGACTCAACTCGCCTTCTTGCTGTCCAACAAACGCGAAAAAAGAAACAAAAAAGAAACAAAAAAGAAACAAATAAATTAAATAATCCAAAAGAATAAAAATGCGATCATTCGGGGGCTGTGGGTGCCGCCGACGGGCGCGGTCGAGCTGTCTGTACACCTCAAGCACGCGCTGCTGCTGCTGCTGCTGCTGCTGCTGCAGCGCGAAAACAAACGAAGTTCTGCAGCAAATTAAACCATTTGAGCCTTTTGGTTTCTTTTTAATTCATATTTGCAGAAATGAAAACACGAAGAACAAACAAAAGCCCCAAACGCCGCCACCCAGCCGCTCCACCGCGCAGCGGCAGCCTAAACCCTAAACCCTAAACCCTAAACCCTACACCCTAC